AGGTGCAGATGTTTTCTCCCACTTCCCCATGAGAGATGTCAGCCTGGGAACCTGAGGAGAGAACACAACATCAGGAAACACGATGAGAAGCGGCTTGGTCATGCAACGTATGCGTGTGGTCGTGTCAAGGGAAATAAGATGGGAGATGGGGTCCTTAAGTGGCTTTGTTCCACTCACAGCTGAAATGTTGTTACCTGCATAATATTGCACAGGTCTGTGGAAGCTCAGCATGTTTGTAGTCTAAGCCAGCTCTGTGTCTCATACAGCAGTCAGGAAGGTCAAAGCTAAGTAAGTCCTGCTGAGAAGCTGGACACTCTGCATTTTGCATATACAGCATGTGGGCTAACTTGAAGCACAGGCAAAGACTGCTTCAGTCTGCTTGTGAAAGGACCATATAGGCATACCCTGAACCAGAGAAGGAAGGCGTGCCTGCAGAGGTTTTCTGCAAATGCTGCTTGGATGGTAGGAATGAGGGAGCTGAGGAATGGGGACATGGCCTGTTCTGGAATCTCAGATCTGCTGGGTAGTTGAGGTAGAAAACTCTTACACCTGCAGGCTAAAAAAAAAAAAAAATAGAGTTATACTTGCTGCTGCTAAGATTGTGTTATGCAACTTGTCAGTTGTATGGAGGTTGCCTGTGAGTTTGTACTGGTAGCCTCCTCATTCTGCAGAATTCAGATTCACAGATACAGTTCAAGTGGGCTGGTGCTGTGTCGCGAAATAGGACAGAACAATTGTGTACTAGGACTGACCTGATTCCATACCAGTATTTCTCAAGTCCCATTTTGACCAGTGTGTGTGTGCGTGTGTAGATGACATCTATATGTATATATTCACATATGTATGAACTAGCTTTTGTACTAAGTGTATGTTCACGCTCACGTGGTGAGCGGTCATGTGTGAACACGCCGTGGCAGTGGTCAAAATGGCCAGCTGTGTGACGCTACACCATATCAGTATGTCTCAAAATGCTCAACATAATGCGTATACTAGCATTTCTTAATAAGAAGCTGGGAGAAACAGGTTTTATACCAAAACATCTGAGTTTTCACATCAGGACATTCAGTTTTACACTGATTACTTTGTGTGCGTGTGTGTATAAGATCTGGAATTGAGTTGGTTTATTTATATATCTATATAAAAATGTGTGGCCCCTACGGTTGCAAGGAATGACTTCGAAATGTCACTCAGCATGGTCCTCTGCCCCTCGTTTTCCACAGGTACGTATCAGTGGCAGTTGTACCCCCCTCATGGTTTTAACTACAAGGAATTGCAGTGCAACACTTTACATTGTTTATATTTTTGAGTGTTTTGCTGCTGATCATTTTGGTGATGGTACTGACTGGTGTGTTTATCCAGCACTGTTGGAGCTTAGAAAAGATTTCTGGTTTTGCAATGTACCTTACTAATCCTGCATCTGGCTCCATGGCTTCAGTAGGTCTCTGGAAAAAGGAATGCAGACAACTGAAGCCAGTGAAAGGACTGGAGCTGTGATGGGGAAGAGATGAAGGAAATAAAGATGCTAAGAAGATCCGTGGATTTGAGCAGCTGCTGGCCAGGGATGCTTGTGAATGATTTGCTCTACAGAACTTGCTACTCTCCAAGGGATTGCAGGGATCCCTTCTGCAAACCCCAAGATGCTTCTTGACACTCAACTGCTGATAAAATGTTATTTTCATATAGTTTAATAAACAGGAGCTGTAGGGGAAGCATGAAATTGTTTGCAGCTCCTAGAGGAACAAGGCACCTTTATGTGCAGCTGCTCAGGGAAGTAGATGGAGCTTTCAGAAATGGGGTGGGCTTTGTTTACACAGGAACCAAAGCCTTTGCAAATGCACATTTTTGCTTTTAGTTTTGTGTTTGGTTGGTTGTTTTGTTTAGGAACAGCTTCAAACCAATGACTTTTTGATTTCTGTTCCACTGCTGGAAATGTGACTAATGGTCATCTAGTTGGTTCCAGGAGCATCAAGATTTTAATTTGCTAGCAGACTTTCAGAAGGGCTACTACAGCTCTCTGTTGGTAGGTTCATTTTTAACTGAATTCAAAGGTTATGCTGCAGTCCAGCTGTTGAACTGATCAATTTATGTGGGTCTGTCCCATTCCAGTTTGTTTCCTCAAGGAAATCTACAGCACTAAAACTGTTTAACTGAGAAGCCTTGTTTTTCAAGGAAAGGCGTCTTGTGAATGCAGCTTCTCTTTTGGCAATCTGAACTGAGTTGCTGATGCAGATCAATGAAATCAAACCCAGGTCTGCACATAGGTGAGCTCAACTCAAAGGGAAACCCTCTTACAATCAAGATTCTGGTTGGAGAAGCCAGCTGCCCCTGAGTATCACAGAATCACAGAATGTGAGGGATTGGAAGGGACCTCGAAAGATCATCTAGTCCAATCCCCCTGCCAGAGCAGGAACCTAAATGACATCACATAGAAAGGCATCCAGGCGGGTTTTGAATGTCTCCAGAGAAGGAGACTCCACAACCTCCCTGGGCAGCCTGTTCCAGTGCTCCAAATGTGTGTCTCCACAGTAGTCCTCGAGCATTTCTTTTCCTTTCTACGTGCTTTGTGAAGTGCTGTGTATACTTATCAGTGCTCTATAAATTCAAAGGATTGATGAGCATTTATTTCTAAGATGTGTATGAACTTACTTAAAACTGTATATGCCAAATCAAAGTGGCCTTAGGGTTCACAGCACATTGCCAGGGCAGTAGTCTTAGTGGCTAGGACTGGATTGCTCACTGGTGTAAGCACATTTCTGGAGTTCCTTTCCACAGTCACTGTTAGTTTTCCCTGTTCAGTGTCACTTGGCTGAAATAATTCACTCCCCTTGTCTGCCCTTTTCTGTGTGTGATCATCTAGTTGGAGAGGAGAATCTGGGCACCGCCCTTCCTTTGCTGTTGCAGAAGTTACAGGGTATGTTCCTCTTCTTCCAGGGATTTCATTGCTTTGTGAGCAACACAAACTCACAAGCCAAATGTGGAAGATGGAGATACGGGCATGTGCAAAAAGTCAAGAACCGGAGGGTTTAATTTCACAGCAGCTAGCTCGCTGGCTTCCCTACCAGCCATCTCCTCCCTCAGGATCATAGTGGAAGACTACTGGAAAAAGCCAAAGGTGATTACCTAATATCATTCCAGCAGACCATCCCTAGCCCACTCCATCCCAGACCTGTGGTCACCAGCTGGTGCCCAGATCCTCCTGCCAACTGAGGGAGCTCTGTAGAATACTGTTAATTCCTGTTGTGCTAGTGGTGCTTAGGTACTACAGTGAGACTATGGCACTTTAGAAATACCTAAGATTTCTAGACAAATGGATGAATGACATCTCTGAAATAAAATTTTTCACCATCGTGTTGTTTGTTATCCCATCTTTTTTTCTTTCTTTCTCTCCAGAGTGAGCTCCTGAGCATTAGTTTCTTTATCTAGCAGGACCAGATTTGGAAATACATGTGTCATCCTTCACAGAGGGGTGACTATTACTTAGCACAGCTGCTGTGCAATGCAAATACAAATACAGAGGTGAGGGATATTCTTAGAATTGGTCTTCATTTTCATCTAACATTTCTGCATGAATCTGAAAAGACAGAGGATGGCACACAGTGCTTGCTATTCCTTTATGAGAGAAAGTGGCAGAACCTTATTCTGCAGTGACACATTATACTGCTGGCAGATGAACCTGGTCCTAGCACAGCTGCAGCTGCTCTGAGGAAATTGTTTTCCCAGTTCTGTGACCTGGGTAGTGTAGGATCTAGTTTTCCAGTCCCTTGCTGAAAAAAAAAAAAAAATGAGACCAACACCCACCTCACTACACCCTCTTTTCAGGCAGTTGTAGAGAGTGAGAAGGTCTCCCCTCAGCCTTCTCTTCAGACTAAACAACCCCAGTTCCCTCAGCTGCTCCTCATCAGACTTGTGTTCCAGACCCTTCTCCAGCTCCGTTGCCCTCCTTTGCACACACTCCAGCACCTCAATGTCCTTCTTGTAGTGAGGGGCCCAAAACTGAACACACTACTCAAGGTGCAGCATCACCAGTGCCAAGTACAAGGGGACGATCACTGCCCCAGTCCTGCTGGCCACGGTATTTCTGATGTTACATCTCAGGCCTATTCTGAGCACAAAGGTCGGTGTGAAAGCATTCAGAGTTTGCCTTAGGGCCCTTGCTTTCATTTGGCTAATATGTGATGTAGCTGCTAATGTGGGTTTCAGCTGCAACTTCCACCTCAGTGTGTATGGAGCCACGCACGCATGTGAATTCCTTTCTCAAGAAACGTAACCTGAGAAGATCCTGAAATTCCTCGGGCTCTGAGGCTCTGGGTGCTTCACCTTCATTGCTGTCAGTGCTCAAGCCAGCCAGCTCCTAGCAGGGGCATACAGTACAGTGCCAAGTCAGAAGTAGGAGGGGGAGAAAAAGGAAATGACTGGCATTTAAAAATACTCAACCCAGGAGGCATGAACCATGAACTGAAGAGAGAAGCCAGAAGAAACCCAGATATGGCTTGGAAAGAAGAGAGATTGAATAATTACAGATGCTCCCCTCCAAGGCTATGAGTAGGTGAAAATCACATCACTGCTCCCGTGGTCACGTAGGTTAGTGCTGGTGCATCACAGCAGTAGTACTGTTTTTCTAGAATTGAGAAGAAGAGGTGTTCTTCTGGAAAACCTCCACAACCTAGTACTTCACTCTGTACCATGAAGC